CCAGAGCTGAGGCCCTAGGAGAGGGGGGTTGAGGTGGGGTGACGGGCCAGCTCAGGAGTAGAGGGTCCACTGCACTCATGGGTTGGGGGGTGCGGGCTTTGCAGATGAAGGTGAGGAGGAGAAAGCCATGGGAGGAGACGGGGGTTCTGGTGGAGGGATTTGGGGTGACAGTTTGAAGGGCAATGCTTGGACACTCAAATATACTGGAGCATCTGAGAACCCCCGAGACCCTCAGTCTCCCCCTTCCCAAGTCTGTGATTCTGTGGGTCTAGGCTGGAGGCCTGGCGTCTGCATTTGTGATTCGGGGACTTCAGTAGGATTTTTGCCTCCTTCCTTCTGCCCCCTGAATCTGGCTGAGCCTGACACGGGGCATAAGCCCAAGCCGAGGGATGGACGGGCTGGTAACAAGGGAGCCTCAGGGAGGGCAGTCACCGAAGCCAGGTGGCCGAGCTGCTGTGGCAGACATGAACCCCAGCCCCCCCAGGCTGAGATCTCACCCCGCACCTCCCCAGCGTGGCCCTGGGCCAGTCACCTCCAAGTGTCTCTCCCTGAGCCTTGGCCTGCCATTTGTAAAATGAGCACCAGACGACCTGGGCGGGTTGGGATCAAATGAGCCAGGGCACGTGAGAGCCGGATGGCCGGGGAGTGAGAGGCAAGAGCAGGGCACGGGGTCGAGGCCCGGCCGGCCAGTCACCAGCAGCGCTGAGCTGGGCACGGAGGAGGGCGGGCGGGTGGCAGGGGACAGAAGGGGCTCCCAGGGGAGGAACTGAGGGATAATGGAAGAGGTCAGGGGCAGGTCAGGGGCAGGAGGCAGACCAAGTAAGGAGCTGTTCGGCTTTGATAGAACTCGGGCCTAAAGCTTGGCTGGGGGAGGGGGGGTGTCTTAGGAGTCTGGGGCCAGCAGGAGGTGCCTGGGGTACAGAGTTCCTGGGGACTGAGGTGGGCTTGCCTGATCTTTCACTTCCTGCGGACAGAGCTTGTCCCCATGTAGCCCCTGCCCAGCGTTCTGATTTCCTTCCCCTTCCTCTAGCACCTTTGGTGGCTCCCTAGCCCTCCCTGGGCTGTCTCCTCTCAGGCCCAGCCCCCAGCCCCAGCAGCTGCCCTTGCCCTTATCTGGCCTGGGCCCTGGGTCCTGCTGGGGAAGGGGCAGCCCAGCCCAGGGTAGGCCTGAGCAGGTGGGGAACAATGAGGCTGTGGGAGGTGGTGAGGACAGAAAGGACCCTAGTGTCTGCTCTTCCACCAGTCTGGGCTTTCCCCAGAGTGGGGGTCAGCTTGGTCTGCCCAGAGATGGGGGAGGCCAGATGGGTGAGCTCGCTGACTTCCTGAGCGGTGGACATTCTACTAGCACCAGGGCCGATGCTGCCAGAATTCTCCTGGCCCAAGACGACCCCCACCACACAAAGCCAACTTCACAGCCTTGCATCTATCTGGGCTCATCGTATACCATTTTCAGTGGGAAAATCTGAGGCTCAGAGAGGCTGCTGGCTCATCCCTGAAGCTGCACAGCCTCAGAGAATGGGCTTGGGCCAAGGGGCCTGGACGGGGGCCCGTAGGGGCAGAGATAGGGGCTTATCAGTGGGGGTGGGGGGGGTCAGAAAGAACAAGCGGATACTGACCTGAGGACAGGGGAGGGCACAGGTAGTTGGGGCAGGGATGGATGGGGAAGGCAGACACAGAGCAGACCCAGGAGGGGAGAGGGAGGGCAGGGATAGTCCAAGCCAAGGGCGTGGGGTGGGAGGGGTACAGTAGTCCAGGCCCGGGGACAGGGAGAAAGCAGAGATGGGCCAGGCCGGGGCGGGAAGAGGAAAGCAGCGACTTCTTGTCCTTGATGTTCTATTTCAAATCTGATCGGCGCTCTGGGGGCTTGGGATAGAGCTTGAGCTCAGTCAGCCTGGGGTGGGGTGAGTCAGTGTCCTTGGAGCTCAGAGGGCTGCCTACCCGGCGCTGGCCCTTCACCCCCACCTCAACCCCCCTCTCCTAGGGCCTCTCATGGACACTTGGCCCTTTCTATCTTACTTCACCTTTGGGGTGAGAAGGCCTTGGAAGCTGATTCTGTAGGCTTGAATCCCAGCTGCACCACTTCTTAGCTGTGTGACTTTGAGCAAGTTAGTTAGCCTCTCTGTCCTTCAGGCTCCCCATCTGTCAGAGGAGGGTAGCAGTGGCTTCTATCCCACGGGCTCGTGTAGATCAGATATGATAATGCTTGTATTTAGAACAGTGCCTGGCACATAATAAGTACTCAGTAAAAATGAGAAATCTAGGTGGCTGATAAGAAAGCCAACTAGCACTAGGCTATGAGATTTCGTGACCTTGGGGCTCCCTTCCACCCTGCAGCCTAGGAGAAAAGCCTCACACCTGCATGGCCCGGTGGTAGGACCCTCACCTGGGGGTCTGGGTTCCAGTCTTCTTAAATGGATAGGGGCGTGAAAAAGGCTCTAGTCCGTCTCAGGCCCTTGCTGTGCTTCCGGGTCTTTTGTGAGACCTGATGCTTGGAGTGGGGATGTGAGAGTCCCCCTCATCCCCGTAGCACAGACTCTCCTGCCCCTTCTCTGGAGGTCACTGTTCCTCCAGGCACACTAGCTTCAGGTCTGGAGTCCCCACTCCCCGCAGAAGCTGGGCGCCCAGACCTGGTAGGGCAGCCATCTTGCTCAGGCCTGGTACGTCACCATGACAACCTGGAGCCTCCCAGCCCCACTGCAAAGGCCCCTCTGAAAAATTTATCAGGAAAACTTCCGTGTTTAAAAATTAACCATGGGATTGAAATATTAAAGATGAGCTGCTTTGGGCAAGGCTGAGGGCAATGGACTTGGGGGTGGAGGAGCCAAGTTCCCTCCTCCTGACAGGATGGCATCTGCCCATCACCCCAGCTTCCAGTTCCAACCCACGCTACCCTGTCTGTAGAGTCCGAGCCTCCTCCATCAATTGAGGCTGGGGCCAGGATGCAGGAAGGGAGGGGCCTGGTTTGCAGGGCCCGGGGGTCACACTGCACCCCCATCTCCAGTTTGCCCCTTTCCCATGGTACTTCTGGGGGGCTCTCTTTAGTCCACTTGAGGGCGGGGCTGGCCCTGCCAACAGCAGGGAGGGCCTGGCGTGAAGCAGTGGGCAGGCTGAACTGCCTTCCATCCCTGCTGCTCAGGTAGCCTGGCCCTAGGGGGTGCCAACACCAGAGAGGGTGGGCTGGCACCTGCCCCCTATGCTGCTCACCGAGCCCTGGCCCAGAGGGTGGCTGTGTGCCAGGATGCCTACTCCTGCCCCTGCCCCCAGGAAAGGAACAGGGTCTTGGAGGAAGATGAGCTCTTTCCCCCCAAATCAATGGTCCCCTTAGCTGCTGGGCTGCTCCCCCCCCCCAGCGCTTGTCTTTGTCCTGAGGTTCCCCAGGTTGATTCCCCTCCGCCCTCCCCCCACCCCCAGCCTGTCCACCTGGCCCAAGTGAGTTTTGTCATCCCAGCCTTCAACTCAAACTTCACTCTGGACCTGGAGCTGAACCAGTGAGTGTGGCCTTGAGCCTGGAAGGAAGGGCAGCAGGCGGGTGGGCAAGGCATGGTCTTGACTTGGCTGGGTGGGGAGGCGGGGGCAGGGCTGGGGCAGGGGCCCTGGATCTGAGCTGAGGTGAGGGACCCAAGTCTGATCCAGCCCCAGCAGCGACCCCCCCTCCTTCCTCCTGCCCCGCTCTGTCTGTTTCAGTCACCTCCTCTCCTCGCAATATGTGGAGCGCCATTTTAGCCGGGAGGGGACAACCCAGCACAACACCGTGAGTGCCTTTGGAAGGGGACAGGGGAGACGGAATGAAGGGACAGGTGGTCATTGGAGATGGGGTCCAAGGTATACTCTATACTTGGGTGGGCCCAGCCCCTTGGGACCCTCCATCTCTCCCCACCATGGAGGCTCCAAGGGTTGGAGTCAGAGTGGCGTATTGAATGGCATGGAGCCTGAGCCCTTCACCCAGCTCCCAAGGTCTGACTCCCCCAGTCGGCCTCTCTGCCTGACATGGAGGCCTTCAAGGACCCTCCCTGCTCCCTGCCCAGACTTTTCTAGGAGGTGGCCGTTGGGGAAGTGCCCTTCTTCCTCAGCACCAAAGCCTTGGAAATTCCTGGCTGCCCGGGACACCAGGGTCCCAGCCCCAGAGGCCCAGGGGCTTGAGCAAAGATGAAGAAGTGTCTATAAATAGCCTCCTCCCCACCCCCCACCCCCCACCCAGCCGGTTCAGGAACTGGAGCACAAGTAATTCTGCAGGAGCAGGGAGTGGGGTGCTTGTCCCCTCTGACCCGAGAGCCCCGGCCAAGAGGACACATGCTGCTCACAGTTCCTCAGCCGCAGACCGTGTCCGCCCAGGCGGTGGTCTCTGTGAACACACTGTGTGTGCACTTGTGTGTGCTGGGGCTGAGTCCACAGCTTTCATCTGATTAAGTGCGCTCCTCAGTGTAAGTGCTTAGAGCCGTGCCTGGCCCCCGAGTGCTAGCTCTCCTCAGAGGAGTCTATGAACTATGCACCAGCCCCCCCTGCCCCTGCAATGGCTAAGAACCACTGAGGTAGCCCAACTTCCTCATCTTGTAGGTGAGGTGAAGGGGGCCCAGGGAGGACTAGGCACCCGCCCAGGTGAAAGAGCAAATGAGGAGCACATCCAGAGTAAGGACCAGGCTCCAGATCCCCAGGTGTACCCAGGGACCATGGCCAGCCGCACACCCAGCAGCCGCGGGGCCCCTCCCTGCTCCTCCTGCCTTCACGCCAGGGCTGGGGGCATGTCTGCTCATGTTCTGCTCCTCCTCCAGGGGGCCGGGGATCACTGCTACTACCAGGGGAAGCTCCGGGGGAACCCCCAATCCTTTGCTGCCCTGTCCACCTGCCAGGGGCTGCAGTGAGTACAGGCAGGGGCTGGGAGAAGGGGAAGAGCCTTTGTCCCTGGCTTGGGGATGCAGGTGGGGACCTGCGCCTCTCTCTCTGCAGTGGGGTCTTCTCTGATGGGAACTTCACCTACATCTTGGAGCCCCGCGAGATGGCCAGGACTCAGGAACCCCCACAGGTGAGCCCCTCACGGTCCCCTCTGACAGCCCTGCTGCGCACGCACACCCTCTGTGGCTTGTCCCAATGGCTGTCGCTGCCTCCTCCCTTGGTGACCTCAGCCTTACTGCCCTCCTCAGTCACCCCAGCTCTGGTTCCCTCCCCCTGTGCCCTCAGCTCCAATGTCCCCTCTGTCCCCCAAGTAACCTCCCATCGGGCTCCAGTGTCCTTTGCCCCTATCTCTCAGGGCGCCCCCAGGTCTTGACCCCGGAATCTGAGCATCTGGGAGATCAGATCCGACATGGGAGCTCTGGCCAGTTCTGGGTCACCCTGGGGTGGGGTGGGGGGGAGGGCTGGAGCTTTCCCCCATCTGGGCTCAGGAGCAGACCTGGTCGGCGCCCCCCCCGCCAAAAACTAATTCCCCCTCATTTCAGGGACCCCTTCCCCACCTCATTTACCGGACCCCTCTCCTCCCAGTCCCCCTCGGATGCAGGGAACCAGGTAAGGGAGGGAAAGTGGGGCTGGGGAGGGGGCCGGCTGTGCCCCCCTCACCTGGCCCCTCCCCCCAGGCTGCCTATTTGCTGCCCCTGCTCATTCTGCTCCTGTGAACCGGCCGAGGCTGAGAAGGAAAAGGCAGGTACGGGGGCCCGCACAGACCTCGGGCTGCGGTCCAGAGCAGAAGGACACCCCATCCATGACGGGGGCAAAGGAGGGCCCAGACTGATGTGGCTGGGGGCCAGGGTACCACGCCTGAGAGGAAGCTCCCCACCCCATTTCCTAACACCCGTGTCTCCACCCGCCCGAATTATGGACAAACTGAGGCTGACTGCCCTCGTACCAAAGGCTGGGGAGGGAGGGGAAACCCACCAGTGGGGGGACCGGCATTATCCCTGACTGGAGTTCAGCACCCCTGAGTCTGCCCATGGCTTGGCCCCGACGCCAGGCCTGGAGGGGACTGATCCCAAGTGCCCACCCACCGCCCAGGTCCGCCGGGGCCACCCTACCGTGCACAGTGAGACCAAGTACGTGGAGCTGATCGTGGTCAACGACCACCAGCTGGTAAGTTCCCAGCCTGGGGGCAATTCTGGGAGGGGGGCCCAAAGCTGCCTGGCCCTCCACCCACTCTCTTCCCTCCCAGTTTGAGCAGATGCGCCAGTCGGTGGTCCTCACCAGCAACTTTGCCAAGTCCGTTGTGAACCTGGCAGATGTGGTGAGCCACCCCACTTCCCTTCCCTCTCCTCCCTCGCCACTGGCCCGCCGCACACATGCTTGGGGTGAACTCGGCAGGGCCCTATCAGCCTCTGATCCCCACTTCCTGAAGAGACAGACTGAGGCCCTCCTCCAGCCCTGTGCCCCCACCCTCTCCTACCCTCCAGCCCCACCCTTACCTTCTTCCCTCCGGGCCCAGATGTACAAGGAGCAGCTCAATACCCGCATCGTGCTGGTTGCCATGGAAACGTGGGCAGATGGGGACAAGATCCAGGTGCAGGATGACCTCCTGGAGACCCTGGCCCAGCTCATGGTCTATCGGCGGGAGGGCCTGCCTGAGCCCAGTGATGCCACCCATCTCTTCTCGTGAGTCCCCGCCCCACACGTCCTGTCAGGCTCTGCTGCTTGCTGCCGCACGCAGGGTTGCCGGATGCTCGCTTGGCGCCAGGGGCTCCCGCGGGGTCTGGGACCTGGGCTCACCTTGCACCAGCCCCCCAGCCACTTGCCATAGGCTGGGCATCTTCCCCTGTATCTTAGGCTGATGCCTCTTTTTCCGGTCCCCACTGATCTTCCTCTGCCTATCAGCTCCCCTTTTGTCCCCTCTTCTCCTGTCAAACTGCCCCAGCATCCCTTCCTCAGGGACTCAGTGCTCGGATAGAAGGAAAGAAATCTGCAGTTAGAGATGATCTCATAGGAGCCTGTCATGTGGCTCATGGGCAAACAAACCCAAAGAGAGGAAGGGGTTTGCCGAGGTCACACAGGCTGACATGAGGACGGGCTCCCCTCCCTGAGGGAGGGCTCTAGTGTGCGAGGCTCCCCAGTCTGCCCCTCACAGCCTAGGGAAGCCACCGTGAGCAAGGCAGGGGTTTCTCCTGACAACCCTCTCCCTTCCAGGGGCAGGACTTTCCAGAGCACCAGTAGCGGGGCTGCCTACGTGGGGGGCATCTGCTCCTTGTCCAGGGGTGGAGGTGTGAATGAGGTGAGCTGTGTGGGGCATGGCTGGGATGGCGGTGGGCGTTAAAGGGAGGGGGCTGTGAAGGGCACGAGAGATGTAGACATTTGTGTGCTCCATCTTCCTCACCCCAAGTATGACAACATGGGCGCCATGGCAGTGACCCTGGCCCAGACGCTGGGGCAGAACCTGGGCATGATGTGGAATAAACACCGGAGCTCCGCAGGTATCAAAGAAGACCCCATGTGGCCCCACAACCAGCCCAGACCCACTCCCAGCAGCTCTAGAAGTGAGGAGGGTGACTGTGGGAGGGGGGCAGTCCTCCACCCTCCCTTATATCCACCTGCTCACCTCTCAGGGGACTGCAAATGTCCAGACAACTGGCTGGGCTGCATCATGGAAGACACTGGGTGAGTTCTTGGGGACAAGCTAGGGGACGGTCTTGGGCGAGGGAGAACCATAGGGAGCACTGGGTGGCAGTGCTCAAGAGGCCCAGCTATCGGGCCCACTTAGGATTTCAAAAAGCCCAGTTTTCTGAGGACACTGCCCAAGGAGACCCACTTTCCCTAGCCAGACACAAACTGGCAGCCTGTAGTGTGCGCCGTGGCCACTGGGCGCCGCCAAAGCCTCGTGTGGAGGCACCTTCCCCCCTCAGCTCTCCAACCTCCCGCTCTGAGCCGTCCTGAGGTTTCGGGAAGGGGACAGGAGCAACGTCCGCTGCCCACTTCCGCTTGATGGGCAGGCAGGAGGATGACCGTGCCCTCTCCTGGCACGGAGATCCTCAGCCTCCTCGAGATGGTCACCGAGTCCCCCCGTGCACCCCATCCCCAGTCTTGAGAAGGGGCGAGAGTGGGCTGGAGGGGAGGGCGCGGCGGGGACTCAGCGGCTCCGTCCCCTGCCCCCCGCCCAGGTTCTACCTGCCCCGCAAGTTCTCGCGCTGCAGTATCGACGAGTACAACCAGTTTCTGCAGGAGGGAGGCGGGAGCTGTCTCTTCAACAAGCCCCTCAAGGTACCAGCCCCAGGGCGGGGATATGGGAGCGAGGCTTGGGCAAGGTCCCGGCCAGACTCCGACACCCCTTCCCCGTCCAGCTCCTGGACCCGCCTGAGTGTGGGAACGGCTTCGTGGAGGCGGGGGAGGAGTGCGACTGTGGCTCGGTGCAGGTGAGAGACTGGTGCGGCGCCAGGTGCGGGACGGGGGCGCGCCAGAGAAGGTCTGGGTGGGGAAGGTCAGGGCTTACCCACCTCCCTCCCCTTGTCCCCGCGTCCCTCAGGAGTGCAGCCGTGCGGGCGGGAATTGCTGCAAGAAATGCACCCTGACTCACGACGCCATGTGCAGCGACGGACTCTGCTGTCGCCGCTGCAAGGTGAGGGGCACCTACCGCCGGGGCGGGATGGAGGCGGCACCAGGAGGGACCAGGCTGCGGACAGGACAGCCGGATAAGGGACGGGACTCAGGGAGGAGGAGCCGCTGGAGGCGGGGCAAATGTGGGGGCGGGACTTGAGGCGAAGAAAGCGCCAATGGAGAGGGAGAAGGGCGGGCGTGCGCCCCCAAGGGCCTGTTGAGAGCGGGGCTACGAGGAGCGGGGCGGGGCACCTACCCAGAGGCGGTGGGAGGGGCGGAACCGTGAGCCGGCCTAGGGGCGGTGCTGACTGGGCTGGGAGCGGCCGGGGGGCGGGGCCTCGGGGAAGGCGGGCGCGGAGTCCGGGGTCCTGGTCTGAGCCGCGAAACGCATCCCCTTCCCAGTACGAGCCGCGGGGTGTGTCCTGTCGAGAGGCCGTGAACGAGTGCGACATCGCGGAGACCTGCACCGGGGACTCGAGCCAGGTCCGTCCAGTCCAGCCGCCCTAAGGGTCCCAGTGGGAGGCAACCCCTATCCTTAAAGGTTTGGCTCCGCGGGGCTATTGTTATCTGCGCCCCTCCGCTCCGCTGCTGGCGTTGTCGCTGCTGGTCAGGCTCATTTTCTTCGCCTGTGAAACGGGTTCTCCATGCCTCCTGGTTTTGCTCCTTCCATCATTAAATCAGCATAGTCTGGCTGGGGTTCCAAGGGCCTGGCACGGGGTTGGTGTGTGCTCAAGATCAGAGTGTATAATAGTATTAGTTAACATGTCTTAAGTTCTCATTACGTGCCAGGTATTTAGTTCCATTAAGTTCTCCCAGCCCTGTGAAGTAGTCACAGGAAACAGGGAGACTGGAGAGGCTATGGGACTTGCCAATTTGTGTGGTCTGAGTTCTGAGCCAGACCTCTTGTTCCTGACTTGGAAGAGCTCTGTACTACTATGAGCCCGTTGAGGGGGCATTTGACACCCCTTTATTCTTCAACTCTCAGCCCTGGGGCTGCTCTGTTCAGCCCAGTCCCTCTGTCCACAGTGTCCCCCTAACCTGCACAAGCTGGACGGTTACTACTGCGATCAGGAACAGGTATGCTGGGTTGGGGCTCTCCCCCTCGGGGCCTCTGGCTCAATACAGTCTTTTTTTTTTTTTAATAAAGATTTTATTTATTTATTTGACAGAGAGAGACACAGCGAGAGAGGGAACACAAGCAGGGGGAGTGGGAGAGGGAGAAGCAGGCTTCCCGCGGAGCAGGGAGCCCAATGCGGGGCTCGATCCCGGGACCCTGGGACCATGACCCGAGCCAAAGGCAGACGCTTAACGACTCTCTTGTTTTATATCCATTCCGACCACTCAGTGTCTCGGTCCCTTGTCTCCTGTTTGCTCCTTAGGGCCGCTGCTATGGAGGTCGCTGCAAAACCCGGGACCGGCAGTGCCAAGCCCTCTGGGGCCATGGTGAGTCTTTAGCTAGGAATGGGAGAGGGGACGACTCTGGAGGGCCCAGAATCAAGAGGCTGGGGAGGGGTAAGTTCTGGCTAAATATGCCCTCTACCGAGTGTGTGGCTGTCCAGAATCTCAGCGAACCCAGCTGGGTTGGGGGTCAGGCCAGAGTGTTGGAGGTGCAGGCCTGAGGTCCTGGGGCGGGTTCTGGGGTGAGTGGGTGACGGCTGGCATCATCTCCTTACAGCGGCTGCTGATCGCTTCTGCTATGAGAAGCTGAACGTGGAGGGGACAGAGCGTGGGAACTGTGGGCGCAAGGGGTCAGGCTGGGTCCAGTGCAATAAACAGTGAGTTGCCAAGGCTCCTGGTTGGCCTCCCCAGCTTTGGGACCCAAGAGGGTTTTTTTTTTTTTTTCAGAGTTGGGACAGCAGGTTCCTGGATGAGCCTGTGAGTCCCAGTGGAGAATATGTGAAAAATCAGGTGGTGGGGAGAGGGCAGATTCAAGTTCAGTAGTAGTAGTAGCATTTGGGTTGGAGGTCAGACTTGGGGCTCACTGTCTCCACGCTGCCCCAACAGGGATGTGCTCTGTGGCTTCCTTCTCTGCGTCAACATCTCTGGAGCTCCTCGACTGGGGGACCTAGGGGGAGACATCAACAGTGTTACCTTCTACCACCAGGGCAAGGAGCTGGACTGCAGGTATGGGCTGAGACCTTGTCTGGGGAAGGGTGGGTTGCAGCCGTGATGGGGGTGGGTGGCAAGGGCTGAGGCTGGCTTCGCCGGTTCCCCAGGGGTGGCCACGTACAACTGGCTGATGGCTCCGACCTGAGTTACGTGGAGGATGGCACAGCCTGCGGGCCCAACATGCTGTGTCTGGATCATCGGTGCCTACCAGCCTCTACCTTCAACTTCAGCACCTGCCCTGGCAGCGGGGCGCGCCGGATCTGCTCCCACCATGGGGTGGGTGCCTGGAGGCCAGGGGTGCCGGGAGGGGCTCCCAGAGGGGACAGGGCCCCCGCTCACCTCTACCGGCCCCACCCCACCTCTAGGTCTGCAGCAACGAAGGCAAGTGCATCTGTCAGCCAGACTGGACAGGCAAAGACTGCAGCATTCACAACCCCCTGCCCACGTCTTCCCCCACGGGGGAGACGGAGAGATACAAGGGTGAGGCTGGAGCTGGCCGGGGTGGGGCCCTGTCTCCCCCCTTCTCCATGCCTGTCCCCGCCAACCAAGCCCTGCCCTCCTCGCCAGGTCCCAGCGGCACCAACATCATCATCGGCTCCATCGCAGGGGCTGTCCTGGTTGCAGCCATCGTCCTGGGAGGCACGGGCTGGGGATTTAAGTAAGAGACACACACACGGCCCCCCGTCCCTTGGCGTTCTTGGGGGGTGTCAGAACCCCAGACCGTTGAAGCTGAGGGGCCTCCCTGAGAAGTTAGCTAAATAAGCTCACACATCACAGTCGGAGTCAGTCAGCCACACGGTCTTGTTTTGCTCACATTTCCGAGAGATTAAAAAAACAAAAACAAAAACAGACGAACCAAAGACACCAAAAGATTTTACATTAACAATCCTGATTCCCAGCTTTTCTTGCAAAAGGAGAAGACTGGGCCTCAGGGCATCCCAGCACGGCCCCGTGGGGTGGAGCCCAGCAGGGGCTGCTGGAAACCGGCCGCGTCCTCCGTCCCTAGGCCCCACGTAGCCCACGGTGTTCTGTGGGCATCTGGGCCTGGGGCCCTCGAGCTGGTTTAACACCTGCACGGTGCAGAGGAGGGACCTGAGGCCCAGGGTCACTTGATGAGTTAGTTGCTGAGACAGGACTCAAACCCAGGCGTCTCTTCCTAGGCCCATCATTAGTGACCCGGTCCTGGGGACCCTGGCCCATCTCTGGGGCCAGGAGTCTCATGGGAGCCAGGAAGGCCCTCCCTGAGAGAAGGGCAAGGTCACCGATGGCTCCTTTTCCTTTCTTTCTCTGCCTGCCCTCTCCTTGGCTCCTGAAGAAACATCCGCCGGGGAAGGTACGCCCCGACCCAGCAGGGGGCAGTGTGACGCCGGCCACGTCATCCCTCTCGCTGTCCCTGTCTCCTCCATCTCATTGGTCACCTCACATTCTGTTGATGGGGAGCTGGGGGCTGCTTCCCCCACCCCTGCTGTCACTACAGGGGCGGGAGAGCCCTGTCCCGGGAAGGAAGTCCTCCGTCTGCCCTTGTCCCTTCCTCCCGCCCGCCTGCCCCCACAGGCCTTGGTCCATTTCCTCCTGCCCTTCCTATGGGCAGACCACCCCTGGCCAGGTGGGTCCTGGAGCTGTGTCCCCCCGCAGCCCCTTCTCCCGGGAGGGGAGCCTACCTCTGCGTCCCATCTGTGTTGTCTTCCATGTCACCGCTGTCTGAACTTCCCACCAGATCCCCTCCCTGGGCAGCCTGTAACTTGCCGCCTCTAGGGCCTAGCACTGACCTCCCAGGGCCCGGCTCAGGGGCTCTCCCTCTGGGCCCTGCCTCACCTCCTCCCCTGATGCCCCCTCTCCGTTCCAGGTCCGGAGGGGCCTAAGTGCCACCCCCCTCCCTCCGAGCCTGGCGCCCACCGTCTCTCCGCCCTGAACCACGAGGCTGCCCCTGCCCAGCCACGGAGGGAGGCACCATGCAAATGTCTTCCAGGCCCAAGCCTTTCAACTCCTGGCCCCACGGGGGGGGGGGGGGGGGGGGCTTGGCGGGGAGGGGGGTTGTGGCCCTGCCCTTCACTCCACCAGGGTGGACCGGGCCTGGGGCATTCCCCTCATGGTCCCCCACCCCCCCCACGCGGCTTTGGCCTCGCCCACCAACTCTCCCTGTGTGAATGTAGCTTCCATCAACACGGATTGCCACAGCTCAAGGGTGGGGGGGCGGTGAGAGGGATGCCCCCCAGTGGGCAGGGCCTGGGACGGCCCCTCCTCAAAACCAGGCAGCTGGGACCAGGGTTTTAACTCTCTGGGACTTCGGGGGAGGGGGCTGACATCTACATTTTTTTTTTTTTTTTTTACTGAATCTTAACTGATGAATGTAACTTTGGGGGTGCTGGGGCGAGGGAAGTTATGGGGATATTTTGACATTTGTGGGAGGGACCGGAGGAACCAAGGCATGGCCATCCCCTGGGACCCTCCCCTGGGATGATCACACTCCAAGTCCTCTCATTGAACAGAGCCCTCCCCAAGCCAGGAAGGGGCAGGGCAGACTTGCGTGTCCCTCGGCCCAGCCCTGCTGACCTTGGAGAGAAGAATGAGTGCTGATTCAAACCAAAGCTGCCTGTTCTGTGCCCAAGGCCTAGGTTATGGGTACAATGACCACACATCCCAGATTGTCTTCAATTGCAAAATGACCACCCTGTTGTCCCTGCCAGGACACATGTATTTGGGAGTCTAGAAAATCCAGTCCCTGAAATAAAATGGCACCTTCCCCCCCTTTCAAGAAGGGTGATTCTGGGGCTGACTCAGGGTTTAGGTGCCCCCCCAGCACGGCCTAGGGGTCCCAGGCTGGGCCATCTTCCCAGGGAGGACTCTCCCAAGCAGGAAAGGCCAGGGGTGGCCCAGTGACTGGAGGGTTAGGGGTTTTGCCTGCGATGTACAAGAGGAGGTAAGAAAAAAGGCAGGTCTCAGACATGATCCTCAGCTTCTAGAAAAGTCCTCAAGCCCCTTTCAGACCCACTCTGCTCCTTACCCCCATTCCAGGGCTGAGTAGGAAGTTTACAGTTGTTCTCCCATTCCCTCCTCTGATCCCCACTGCAGCTGCGCCTGACGGGCGGGCTGAGGCCGAGCGGCGGGGTTCCTCAGTCCTGCCCGTGGCCTCCCTCATGACCCCTGGGGCAGTGGAGCCTTGGCTCGACTGCTACAAACCAGCCGGCAAGGGCAAGATGAGGGTCAAGCTACCTTATGGATGAAAGCCACAAAGGAGCAGAGCCCCTTTCCCCAGGAATACCCCACCCAGACTCAGCAGGGGTTTCTGGACACCCCCAGGGCCTTTGAACAGCCTGTTTCATTCAGCCCCTCTGTTTCTGGGGGCATCTTTGAGGAGGAAATGGCTCCCTGTTTATCTGCACCACCCCTCAGGGCAAACTGGGGACTGAGACCCATTGACACCCTTTTGGGTGGCCGGATGCGGCTACAGTGGGGTCCTCAATACCGCGCTCCAGCTGGCACTGCCCGAGAAGGGGGTGGGTGGGGCGCCCCCTGGCCAGGCCTGCTCCGCCAGCCCCACACGCTGCAGCGGGGGCAGGAGGGAAAGGGCTGGGTTGGGCACTGCTGCCGCGGTTCTTTAAGGCCGCCTTCGCCGATACACGTGCACACAGCTGGTGACGCATCTGGCACAAGCATTTGGATCCCCATCTCCGCACAAGTGTGAATACCTCTGCACATGCGGACAGGCTGCGTGTGCGCGAGCGTGGGGGCGGGCGTGAGGATGTGGAGGACTCCAGACTTCCTGTGACCAGTCCACCTGGCTCCCAGCTGTCTGCATCCTCCCGCCCCCCCACCTCCCCCCGCCCCTGGCAGCGCCCAGGGAGGAGTGTAGGCTGCACTGGCCCGGGTCTGGAAATGGCTCCATACAGCATCCTGTACATATGTCATCTGGGGCTCGGGGCAGGGAGGCAGGGATGAGAACATCAATTAAAGATCATGTCCTGGGGCTTCCATGGAGCTCACACCAACCTGCGTCTCCTTTCTGTAAATGACCGCACTGTGACTAGGGACCCTTCCCTGTCCTCCCCGGTCCTGGAGGGAACATGATGACTGCAGCGCTGGAGGTGGGAAGTGAGCACCCAGGACTGGGCGCTGGGACACTGGGACTAAGGGGTGTACTTTTCCGTTCCTGGCCAGGAAATACGCGCTGATGGGTGGAGGGCCAGCCCTTCCGCTCCCTCGTTCTCCTGGCAAAGATAAGTGCCTTCCTCTGGCTTTGGCAAAGCAGAAGGGGAGGTGAATAGAAAGCATCCTACTCAAAGGCTGGAGACCCAACTTCCCTTTTATGGTTACAGCCTGGAGAAGCCTCTCCTCGACTCCCAGGAGATTCCAGAAAGCTGGATAAAACCGCTAATCTGGTCCCAGGGCACCTGCTCTTAGGCCGGCAGAGAATTTGCTGTTTCTCATCTCTGCCCTCCCCCCCCCCCCAGGCCCGGGGCAGGAAGGGACTGAGCTCGGCCAAGGCTCAGTGCCCCTCCCATGCCAGAGGAGCCTATTCTTCCCATCTTCCCCTTCAGAGGCTTTGGGCCTGGAGGTATCTGGCTCAGGGGAAAGATAAGAGGGGCGGGGTGGGGGGGGCGAGCATGAAAGCAAGGTAAACTAGAGATTAATGGGAGCAAGAAAGAGCCCCGGTCAAGGGCCTGGAGAGAATGAGACGCTGGAAGCTCCGGAATGGTAGCCCCATTCCCAAAGGGGTGGGTCTCCCAGGACCACCCTAGTTCACATGCAGAGAAAGCAGGACTCAGGGCAGTGCCAGCCTAGGTTCCTGGTGTGCGCCCTGTTCTGAGTCCCCCAGGATATCGGGAACACCCCCCCCCATTCTTCCCACCCTGGCAGCCCAGCCAGAATCCTCCAATCCACAGTCACTGCCTGCCATCTAGGCTTGCTGCATCTGCTCTGGGTGGGAAACCTTCTTAACTTTTCCCATTGCAGCTGCCTCTCCATTCTTCCTTCCTCGTGCCCACTCCTTCCTCACTTCTGGGTCGGTCCTGACCTTCAGACTCTGATGGGTCACACAGCTGAGCCTTAAGGGGGTGAAAAACGTGGCTTCTGGCGGAGGGCATGGGTGAGGCTTATCACAGGTGACTTGTGAAGGTGGTCGGTGCTCAGTCACTCTTGACACCTGCTTCTCAGCCTCAGGCTGAGCCCCGGAGCCCCAGGAGTTGGCTGTGTGAGTGCCCAGAGGAGCAGGAAGCTGCAGAGCAGAGGGGGCCTGGGGAGGGGGAACATCAGGGAGGTGGCCTCAGCCCTCTGCCACGGGACTGCCCTCTGATGGCAGCACACCTCTCCCATCTGCCCAAGTGGAAGGCTCTGTGGGCTGGAATGAACACCAGACCTGGTCCAAACAGATCATCTGGAAAAGTACTTACTTTGGCTTCAGAACTTCTCACAGGCCGTTCAGGCAGAGTGTTTCCCAAAGAGTGTGGAGTGGGACCAGAAACTCAAAATTTGCTGTGAAGGCCACTACTGTGAGAATTCCCAGGTATATGTTTTTGATATAGTCTGCTTCCAGATCCTTTGATAAGATCACCACCCCAGGCTGTCTCTGGGTCACCCTCCCTAACCCAGCACTCACCTGTTCAGAATTTCTGGATGGAACGTGGATCCAGATTTCAGTTCCCAGTTCTATGTGTGGCCTCCTCAGTGCCCTTCTGAGTTGAAGGTGGCCACGAGGGACAGCTGGGGTCACTAAGCCCACTCTGCACCAGCCAGTACTTGGAGTGTATTTGTTGAGTTGAAGGAAAGATTATAAATTCATCACGGTTCATCCCAGTGTCTAGACCAGTGTGGTCCAATAGAATAAAGTGCGTGGTCCATAGGGGCAAGTTACATATGTATCTTTAAGTTTTCTAGTAACCTCATTAAACAAAGAAACAGGTAAAGTTAACATTAATACAACTTATCAAATCAAATATACCCAAAATATTCTCATTTCAACATGTAATCAACATAAAATGATCATTGAAAATGAAATGGGTTTTTTTTTTTGTTTATCTTTGGTACTAAGTTTTAGAAATCAGGAGGAGTGTATTTTGGACTGAAAGTGCATGTCAATCTGGACTAGCCACATTTCAAGAGCCACATGTGGCCAGTGGCTACCATACTGGACGGCGCAGGTCTAGGCAAGAAGTGCTAAATTGCGCTATCTCAGTCCAGGAAACCCTGCAAGAAGGCAAGTCCAGAAGAGAGGAAATGAACGAGGGCAGGAGAGACCAGGATGCGCTCCAGAGGACAAGACCTCCTTCAAGCTCAGAGGGGATCTGCCTGCGCCTTCCTAGCAGGTGAGGGAGGAGCTAGGATGACCTTGGTGGGACTGGGAGATTTTAACTTGCTCTAGGGTGAGAGAGCTAAATGCGTCCTGCCCTGAAAGCGGCTCTGGCCCCAGGAACGTGCTGGGATAAAGTGCAATTTCTGTCACACTTTTCAGAAGGGCAGGGAAGCCCGGGGCAGCCCGGTCCTGAGGCTCGGTGCCCAGGAAGCCTCTTGCCAAAAGCCCCTCGCAGGTGGGGGCGGGGGGCGTCAGCAGCGGCTCCAGCTTCAACCAACTTCTGGTCTTTGAAGCTGGAGATTCAGACACAGTCGGGGAGTGAGATCTGCACCCCACCCCTCCCCCCAGACCCTGATATGCTCCGCGCCCCTGGCGGGGGGCTCTAGCAGCTCTGGGGGCACCATAGGCCTCCTGGGGTTGAAAGCAAAAACAGGGAACAGGCGACATCCCCACCGAGCCTCTGGGACAGCTAGGGTGTCCTGCTAGAGGTCTAAGATCTTGCAGCCTGAAGTCCGTCCCTGGTGACAGCGCCCCGGGCGAGCCCCGGCAGCCCTTGCAAAGGTCACCTGGGCCCTTGGGAGAGAAGTGTCTTCTCCCTGCTCTGGGAGACTGATGAGGCCGGGAAGCCACGGGTAACATCGGCTGTGACCCGCACGGCGACAGCCTCCTGCTTGGTCACACTCGCCCTCCAGGTCTG